GGGTGCAGCCTTTCACATTGAGATTTTAACCTGATTTGAAAAAAAAGAATGCCGAGGGGCGCCTTTCAGCGCTCTCTTCAAGACGAATCGAGTCCGGTACCGTCATTATCCGCTCGCGATGGCGAATTCCGACGAAAATCTGTTATCTACTCATCCATCTATCTATCCATCTATCTATCTATCTATCTATCTCTCCTTTCCTCGGCCGCCTCTTTAATCAACGATTACATAGAGGTATTCGCAATATAGAGATTATCTCCTGAAAGAAGCGCAGAGAAGGAATAACAAAATCGGATACCAAGCTTTTTACCGTCAGGACGAGATCTCTGCGAAATCGAAGCCGTTTTAATCGTACATCCGAAACTTGAAAGTTCGTTTGAGGTAGAAAGGGCTCGACGAGGCCTCAAATTTGCCTTCTTTTATCCCTTTTTTTCGCCTCGATTGACTGAATATCGAGAAGTCTCTCTGAATTTTGAATATACGTTTACGACTCGCTGATGATTGCGTCGTCCGCGAGGGGGAGTTCATGGTGCGAGGGAGGATCTTTGTCCTGCCTCCCTCTCTCCCTCTTTCTCTCTCACTCTCTCTCTCTCTCCCTCTCTCTCTCTCTTTTTCTCTCTCTCTGTCTCAATTCGTACAACTCAACTTTGGTCGCGCTTTGATAAGGGAATTAAAACTTCGAGTACACAACATTACAACATTCGGCACGGAATTATCGAAACTAGATTACAAATATTTCTTCTGGGAGTTAAAATCGTTGCCGGCCATCATCTCGCTCACCCCGCCGATCGCATTTTTATATCCGGCGAAAAATGGACGCCCTCAATTTTACCAAACTGCTACTGCTGCTGCTGCTGCTGCTGCTACTACTACTACTACTACTCCGTCTATATCTCCACGTGAGGTAAAGAGGACGAAAAAAAGTTGCTGAAATTTAATAATAAAATGTTCGCGCAGGTACACGCGCGTACACGAAAATTCCGGGGTCTCTCTCCCTCTCCCTTTCCCGGACGGATTAAATAATTTCGGATTCAAGGGTCGCGCTGGCCGGCCACGCGCGCTCGCGCCGTTAAATATCCTGAAATTAATTAATAATTTAATTCGCGGTGACGGGGCGGGATCGACGGTTTCGATTTTCAGACGACGACTACGACGACGGTGACGGCGCGCGCGCGCACGAGAGAGAGAGAGAGAAAGAGGGGAGGGGAGAGAGAGAAAGACGTACTTTAATTAACTCGTGGACGTTAATTTCACTTAACTCGCGCGACACGCCGGACTTCGTTCAAGGCACACTGTCGCGCCGGCATGGCCGTGTGTCGGCGCTATTGATACGCGCATCTGCGGGGCTGCTGCCGTTGCTTCGGTTGCTGCTGCAGCTGCAGCTACACTTCATCCGAGCTCTGAGCCTCGACGGCGGCGGCGGCGGCGGCGGCGACGACGACGATGACGACGACGAGACGAGACGAGCGAACGTAAACGAGAAGGAAGGCGGTGCCCGGCGGCCGCGTTGCCGGCCGCGTTATAGAACGGCGCATCAATTGTTGGAAATGCGGGACACTATCGCGACGAAGCATCGTGATTATTCCTTGACAGCCACTGTTATGCGCGTGTGCTGCAGTGTGCTGCTGCTGCTGCTGCCGCCGCCGCCGCCGTCGCCGTCGCCGCTCTGTTGCTGCTGCTGTTGCTGTTTCAGTATAAGCGCCGAGAGAGCGGCATACGAAGCGCGAGATTCAGCCCGTACTGGCGTGTACGACGCGCGCGTACACGTCATCACGTCATCGTCGCTTGCCGAGGGTGGATAGACAGATGAAGAGAGAAAGAGGGGAGGGAAGCGGACAAGCGAGCGAGTAAGAGAGAGAGAGAGAGAGAGAGAGAGAGAACCCTTCGAAAGTGACGGGCAAGAAATCGCATCCCTCGCGACGGGGGATGCGCGCGCGCTAAACTAAACGCCCCCATGCGCTCGTGGTGGCTGCCACCATTTATTTAATGCGACACATAGCCACGATATATAGAGCCGCTCGGCCGCTCCGTGCGCGGAACGGTGATTATCTTATAGAATTAATTGGACAAAATGGCAGGGCGGTTCGTGGGGAGGGGTGGAGAGGGGGGGCTCTGAAATTCTATAAGATAATTAGTATTCCTAATTATAGCGGAATTTTATCTCGCGCGTGTCGAGTATCGACCTGCGGCGAATTGGCCGCCGGTCTCGCTCGAATTCGACTCGTTCGCGCCCTTCTCCTCCTCGGGCTCTTGGGAAACGCGGGTCTCGGTGCCCGCCGAGGTCCTTGACTGACTCGCCCTAATCACCTTGCGCGAATTCCCTTCTCTCCTCTTCTCCTCTTTTCTCCTGCTTCTTCTTTCTTCCTTGCCAGGACATCCGCGACTGTGAGACAGGTGTCGGTGGTCGATCGCAAAAAGCGTACGCGTCTAACGATAATCCCTAGGTTCATTTTGGGTGGACGACGGTAAACACATCCCTCCCGCACACACGCGAGTAAATGGGCTACCACGTTTTCTTCCCACGCGCCGTTTCTTACCCAACGTGGCGCGATCAATAACGGGGGACTTGGAGGCAGTGAGCGCGTGTATCGATTGCTGGGGGAGGGGGAGGGGGAAGGAGAACGACAATTATTACTAACCAATACTTTCGCGCGGCGCGCGTCGAAATTAGCGCAGCCCGCCGCGAGTACAGTGTTACTCGCGCGTCCAAATCTTTTCGCGCCGAGACCGGCAGCGGATTAGCTTAGCGCTAATTAATCCGATAAGCGTATTTAAACACTCCGAACGTGATATTGATATAATTCAATTGACCCCGTTCCCCCTTCACCGCTGCCCTCCACTATCCCACTTCACCCCGCGCGCGGAGCATATTTTATTCATCCATCAAGAATATTGTTACATCCACTGAACGAACCACCGCTGAAATTTCCAAACTCACCGCCATACCGCTTTCTTCTCCTCGGTCGGCGACCGTCCCTCCCGCCCCGAACGTTCACGTCTTAAATAAGCGACTCTTTCCGGCACGTTATTCATGGCGGGTGATGACGAGAGCACACCACAAAATTATCTTTATGTTACTTCACTTGACGATTGTCATCGCGGGAAACAGACGACCTGCCATTGTCAGACCAAAAAAAAAAGAAAAACAAAGATAGGCCGTGAATAAACCGCGGGGGAGTGTTACACGTTTGCCTCTGGCAAACCGCGGGGGAGTGTTACACAAATTTGCCTCTGTACCGAGAAAAAAATATTTAAAAATTAACAAATATTTCATAAATCGGTCGTCGGTTTAAATGAAAAGAATTTTGATTTAAATATATATATTAATGGTACTCACCTAAATATTTGTTAATTTTTATATATTTTTTCTCTCAGTGTACAAAAGGTTGCAGAGACCATAGTACTCTGAAAGTAGTACACTGGCCTCCTTCACTGCTTGCCCATACGTGTTTGAGTGGTTCTCTCAATGCTGTATGGCGCAATCAAAGCCTACCCTGTGAGAGAAGAAATATTTCATTAATAACATTTTTTTTTAACCTTAATTCCATTTAAACAGAATAAACAATTGTTTTCATGAAAAGCTAAGAGAAGTTTTAAGAAAATGTACATTTTTTCCTTTTAAAAAATATATTGCTATTAGTACATACGTTATTAGTACTCACCGCGGAAAAATATTAATTATTTCTTAGATTTTTTATTCGAAGAGAAAATGTACATTTTTTCCTTTTAAAAAATATATTGCTATTAGTACATACGTTATTAGTACTCACCGCGGAAAAATATTAATTATTTCTTAGATTTTTTATTCGAAGAGAAAATGTACATTTTTTCCTTTTAAAAAATATATTGCTATTAGTACATACGTTATTAGTACTCACCGCGGAAAAATATTAATTATTTCTTAGATTTTTTATTCGTTCTGCAGATCACAACAAAGGAACAACAATGTTCCTTTGATTAAGGAAGTGAACAATATATAATAATATATTTAAACATTGCGTATCGTAAGAACTGTGGAAATTATATAGATAGATAGGAAATAGATTATATAGATATATAGATAGATAGGAAATTATATAGATAGATATGCAACAATTTTTAGTGCAATATCTGTTCTACTTAAGGGGACTGGAGGGTCAGATTGCCTGAAAATCGTGCTTGTTCTTTCACAATTTTTTATGACAAACTGAATGAATATGCGAAAGAGTTATTTTAACGTGTATTTATATAAGATATAAAAAGAAGAAAAATATAATTTTGATGATCAAATACTCAATATAAGTGTATGGTACATGCAGTTAAATATATTTCGTTTTTTTTTTCAAGGTCATTATTTCGCAGTAATATCTTGACTCTCGGTGGTTCAATTAAGCTGAATTTTAGGTAGAAAATTTCCGTAAGCTTGTCGTTATCGTGTAAACCACTTACAAACTCGTAAAAATATTTAATTTTGAAATATTAATTTTTTTACTATAATAGAACTGAGAATTTTATATTCCATTAAGATATTTGCAATTTTGTTAACTTTTACTCAATTTCTATTATAGTGGTTTATACGATAACGACAAACTTACGGAAATTTTCTATCTAAAATTCACCTTAATTAAACCACCGAGAGTTAAGATATTATTGCAAAATGACGACCTTGAAAAGAAAAACGAAATATATTTTAACTGCATATACCATACATTTATATTGAGTATTTGATCATCAAACTTATATTTTTCTTCTCTTTATATGTTATATAAATACACGTCAAAACTTGTCATAAAAAATTGTGAAAAAACAAGCACGATTTTCAGGCAATCTGACCCTCCAGTCCCCTTAAATTCGTAGAAATTTGTTTTCTCACTATAGAAAGAATGTAGCCGCCATAACTCCGAACTATTCTCGCGAAATTAACGGAAAAATCTAACGCACAAAGTTAAGTCGGGTGAGGAAGTAATGATGACAATGCAAGCTCTTACCAATGCATTAACCAAGCTCTCTGTTGGCCGTAGGAGACCAAGAGGCCGTCGAAGGAGATGCAGGTGACAATCGCGAGGCAGTTGGGCCTGGAACCGACGACGGTCGGGAACTTCTTCATGAACGCTCGACGCCGCTCGATGGACAAGTGGAAGGACGAGGATCCGAAGACGGTGGCGGTCGAGGAGGAACAGTTGTCGCCCACGATAGCCATCGGCCAGCGCCAACCGAGCGACGTTTTGTGACACACGTCCGACCACGAGGAGTATCACGACGAGTCGCCCGAGGAGGACCTGCCCTTCTCGTAAGGGCGGCGAAATCACCTCGTGGGACGCGCTCTCGCCCGACCACGCGTTCGATCACGAGGGTCACCGTAGCTGCGCGTTCTCTCAGAACTCTCCTTCTCGCACTGTCACACAGTTCCTCTCCGACGACGCGCTCTGTCAGCGCGCGGTCGGAGACTCCTTTGGGGTGGTTTATTAAATCGCGTCAACTCCTTAATTCATTCGTTTGCTCGCGGTATTTCGTTCGTTTGTTCTCGCTCGTTCGTGTGATACGATTAAGTTTCTATTAGCGTCTATTGCGTTGTTGTCGATCGCCGATTCCACCGCCGCCGGCGAAGGAGACGGCCGGCGTTACGAGGCGAAATTCGCGGATCTCCGTGAGACTTCCGAGCGGGTCACGATCTCACGGACGATTATTTTGCGTTCAAATGGAGCGAAACGCCCAATTACACTGAGAAAGGGACACTTGAAAACTTCTTTTGCGCGCGGGACATAAAGTTCCTTCGCAGAAATAAACCTTACTTCACCGAAGCGGACTTTATATCTCATGAATAAATTTTCGAGTATTCTTCTTCTCAGTGTATTGCCGAGCCCCTCTCTCTCTCTTTGACAACTCGGTTTTTCTGAAGCGTCAATGACTAAGAGGGTTCGTCGGTGAAGAGGCGGTTTGCCCCAATCTTTGGCGGAGATCTCGCGCGAGAAATTCTCAATTACAACGTCCTCTCTGATTCACCCGGTGGAGAAGGGGAGGTGAGCCGCGCTGAATCGACGACCCACGGATCGAACTTTCGTAGATCGAGCTGCGCGTCGCAGGGGTGAGAGCGTCCCCCCAGCCGCTGGTTGCGATCGATCATCACGATCATCTTTCTTTCGCGAAGCGATCCCGCCGACCGCGGACTGCACCTCACAGTATCTAATCCTGCGTTCCTAAGCTAGTGAATTTCCGAGCGTTGCGCGATCGGCAGACCGATCTACCGATAGAGGCTCTCGAGTCAATGCTTAAAGTCGAGATACGGGCGACTAGAGGAAGGAAGAGACAGAGAGAAAGGCGACAACTCGCGGCTCTCGTCTCGGCTTTGAGCAGCTCTCGCAAACTTCGTGCCATAGTTTGCCATATTAGCGTATAAGTTATGTTCCCATACGATTAGCACGCGGGCCTCGCGTCCGACTCGGTGGTCCCCGTGCGCTTCTAGTCCCAATGCAAGGCGCGAGCGAGCGAGGACGGAACGTCCGCGTTGATCGCGAGGCGGGCCCTCACGTTTCTTCTAGTCAAAATTCGGAAGCTTTTCTGAGTTTGCACCTGCGCCCGCGCGCCCGGAGGGTCGCTTTCCGGCGGAGAAAGAGAGAGAGAGAGAGAGAGAGAAAGTGCTTTTGAGCCGGCGAGTTCGCGACGTGTGTCGTGCCGAAAACATGGCGTTCTAGTTTGTATAACGCGGGCCGACAGTTCGCGACCCTTTGTTGACTTTGTTAACCCCCCTTCTCCTCCCTCCGTTTTTCCCCATTTTCCCCCTCATAGGACGGACCGCCGCTTCAAGCGCGTCTCGCGCGGCGGAGCTTGATCTCGTAGAAGATGCGGAATGCTTCTCGCGTTTATCGCGCGGAACTTTCAGCCACTCCCCGACAATCGCGAACGACCGTCACGCTTGTTCGCATTTTCTTTTCTTTTCTTCGCTTTGAACGAGTTCGAGATCGAGCCGCTGCGCTGAGTAGTTGCCGCGATGCGCCGACGAAGACGTGACTGAAGCAGCGCGACTCTTTGCGATCGGCAGAGAATTTTTTCGATCGCGCCTCGACGAATAGTTTCGTTCGCGCAGATGGTGCATTGCTGTGTCGAAAAGTCCGCGGTGTCTCGCGCAGGACGCGCGTCAGGATGCGCTCCCTCCATCTGTCTCGGTTGCGAACCGAGTCGCCTCTTCCCTCGACGCGAATTTCGCGACACTCTCTCGACGTTGAGTCTGTCTTGCGACGACGAAATCCGGAGAGTGACGTCTCTGTCCATTGACAACCATTACTGACAACCATTAACGATTCGCTGCGAATAACGATGAGCAGCAGGAGGACCGGACGGAGGGAGAGCGTGACCTTTAACGCGCATCATCCTGCGTTTACCGAATAAAAATCGAATCGGTCGTCCGTTTCCCCTCGCGAAAGGGGGTTAATCGGCGTTTTCGACGGGTACGAGTGGCGCGAGAGAAAGAGGGAGAGAGAAAAAGAGAGAAAGTGAGAGGGAGAAAGGAGAGAGAGAAAGAGAGAGAAAAAAGGGGTTTGATGATGATCGCGCAATCAGCGGCGCCGAATGCGCGACCAACTCGTCGTGTCCCTTGCTGGTCAGACGAAATGTGAACCAATTTTCAAAGTGGCTTCGTGTGAGGGTGCACGTGCCACACACACACAAGTGATATATATATGTATGTATAAACATGTATATCAGAGTGGACGCTCTTTTGTGCGAACCGATGGTGGGAGCGGGGAGGAAGGGAGAAGGGGAAAAAGAGAAAGAGAGAGCAATTTTTAAAACGGATGGTTGCACTATAGTGTACGAGAGAGAGAGAGAGAAAGAGAGAACGACAGAGTATAAGCGAGAATGTGTGAGAAAGACAGCGTGTGAGAGAGATAGAGAGACTTTGCGAGCCGCACTCGATATCGTACTGCAATTGTGCTGTGCTATTGTACATATTAAAAAAGGAAAAGGAGTACACGCGACACACTCACTCACACACAGAGACACACATAACATATAGCCGTACACACAACACATACACATAATTTGTACGTGTACGTATGTATACAGATGGACACACACATATACACACACACACACACATACACACACACACACACACACACACACACACACACACACACACACACACACATACACACACACACTTTTATTACGTAAGCGGCGTTCGCTAAAGCCGGGCGAAAACGAATCGGTGTGACGTTTGATTGCAGAAAAGTGCATTCCAACCGACTTGCATCCCGCGTGGCTCTCGCGCAGGGATCCTTTTTTAAGCTTCGATGCAACGTCGCGATCGGCGAGCGATCGGTTTTGCGAAATTTCGTACGACAACGCGAGCCACGTTCGCGTTCTTTCATTTATGATGTCTCACAACCCACAATCTCAACGACGACCAGTCTGGAATCCGATTTGCAATGGACCTTTCCTCGGAGGAGAGAAATGTTCAAGAATCAATAACCTGAGAATTACAATTACGATTGCTAAAAAAATGAAACAGAAAAACAGTCTTTTGCAAACTAAGCTTCAGGTACGAACGAGTATTCATAACAAAGACAATATTCCTCGATTAATTTCGTGCGAATCTGAACGAAATTCCAATTTGAGGCTTAGCTACGCACCACACGAAATTGAAAAGCCATGAAACATAAAAATGGTCGCTTCCATTGAAGGAAAAATTGACTCCCCAAGACTGGTCGTAGGAAATTGATGATGAGAGAAACTCGGCATACGAAGAATCGCATGATCGTCGCGTTCGCCTCGGAATTACGCGCAATCGTTCGTCTCGGGCGCGCACGCGAAACTCGGTACGTTCCTTTCGCGCGCGCGTCTTTTTCGCATGTTCACGGCGATGTTACCTACGGCATGTTACTTAATTTATTTTAGGATAGATGAAAAAGCGCCGGCGCGTCCGCGGCTTTAGAAGCCACCACGGTTTCGTCATCTTGTCACAAGCGCGCGTAATTTATTGTGTGATAATTTTGTAATGTTACATCTCGACCCCCTTTAGTGTGTGCATGGCGACCTCGAGGTATGTTACCGCTTTCGTGCAACAACAACAACAGCAGCAGCAACAACCTCCTTTCTTAAGAGAAAAACGTAAGAAACAACACGAGGAAAAAAATCCGAGAGGAAGCGGGGGAAGAGGAAGAGGAGACGGACGGGGGATGAGGAAGAGGACGACGAAGAAGCAGAGGAAGGAATCAGAGTACACCAACACGTTTCTCCTCGTTGCACCGAATTAATTAGCGTTTCCCGAGCGAACACAAGCGCTCACACTTAATTATTTATTGCTAATTTATCAGGAACGGTCTCAAATAAACGGTCATTCAAAGCGAGCATTGGTTCTTGGAGTGTTTGGAGACTCGCAGTGCTCCGGGGCGCGGATTTCTCCCAATGGCGGCGAATCGGCAGTCGGCTCGACACGAAAAAAAGACTCTCGCGTCCGTTTTCCACGCGTGCGACGGACGCACAAAGATACACGCGCGTGTATCCCTCGCGTTGTCCCCAAGCGGAGGAGAGACGCGGCGGAAATAAGGAAACCCACGGTACCAAGAGAGTTGCGAGCGGCCTCCTCGGTCGTCGCTTTAAGATCATATATAGTACAAAGTAAACATATATTATTGTAATAACGGTTTAATTATATATATAAATATATATATATATATATATATATAAGAGGAAGCGTCGCGCTGTTTCCCGAGAGAGAGAGAGAGAGAGAGAGAGAGAGAGAGAGAGAGA